AAAAAAAATATTAAATTACTTTTTAAACGTATCATTATCAATCGTTTAATTTTAAATAACAACTGTTAACTATTGTATAATTAAAAGGTTGTATTAATCAAATCTATTATTTACTATCCGTTACTCATTTTTTTGCTATTCTCCACCCGCTATTCACTAACCACCGCCCACCACCCACCATCCACTATCCACTAATCGCTACCTACCACCCATTACTACTATCCACCATTTACTACCCGCTACTCGTTATCTACTAAATTTTAATCACTATACCAAGCATGTCTTACATCAAAAGGTGGGATTTGTGAGTCCAATTTAGGTTGTACTTATCTTATGTTTTCAATAAAAATAAATAAATAAAAGGTTGTGCTTAGTATTGTTATGAAGTGTTGTGGTTATAACTTTTTTAATGAGTCCAATTTAGGTTGTGTTAAGGATTACTATGAGGTGCTGTAACTATAACTTTTTCAGTATTCAACTATAAGAAAAATTATGTAATTATTTGACTATTGCTTTGAAAAGAATCTTATACATTAATATGACTATTATATTAAACATCAATTCAAATTAATTTAGTCATAATAAATTAATATTTTTTAAGGTATTGTGTAAAAAAGCACCGTAAGAAAGCAACCCCGAATGCTACGTTATTTATATATTAAATGAAAAACAGTAACTATCTTGTGCTTTGTAAATCACAAAGTGCTATAGGAAAGCAACCAAAAATGCTACGTTATTTATATGTCAAATGAAAAGTAGTAATCATCTTGTGCTCTATAAATGACAGTACTTGTTCTTCATTATCTAAGAGAAGCATTGCAGCCTTTTGTTTTATTATAACACCTTGAATTCTACAATAATATAGATGTATGAGTGTGATTGGTATATAATTGTAGAGATCAACTATTACTATTAAGTTGAGCTTAAACTTTTAAGAGCCTGTGAACTTTAGCTTGAAAGTTACTAGGTCAATGGGGGTTTCAATTCGAGTAGTTTTGGTTTGAATCAAAGAAATTGCCTCTCACAAGTGTGGGTCCATGCTGACCATTATGATCGGTGATAGTGTGGACCTCGCCTCACTTGAGATAAATCATAAGCTTGTGGCCTAGTGGGCTTTATTTTGACCATGATTAGGCTTGATAAGAACATCAGGCATTTAAGTGAGCAAGATTATGACACACTATATCTCACATAGAGATGAAATTGTGAGTGTGATTAATATATAATTATCATGACCAACCATTATTAACAATTTGAACTTAAACTTTTAAAGGCTATAAACTTTAGCACTAAGAATTATTAAGCCAATGACAAGTTTTGACCCAAATTATTTTAGTTGGTATCAAAGCAGTTTCTCTCATAAGTGTGGTGTAATACCCCGAAATTTTTGGAGTATTAAAGTGTGAGTAAGGGACTTATTTGAGGGAAAATATTATTGAGGGGCTTAATAGCAAATTTTTGAAACTTGAGGGACTTAAAAAAGAAAGGAAATTAGTATAAGGATGGCTGAGTTTTTTTTTTTTCTTTCTTTCTTCTTCCTTATCCGCGCATCTGCTCTTCTTTTCTTCTCCCCTACACCCGACCAGCCCCCCCCTCAAGCTGCCGATAGTTTCCCTTGGGAAACTCGGCAAAAAGCTTGAATTTCTCTTCTTTTCTTGTTAAATCACGAGATTTGGGGCTTAGAATCTTCCCTCTCAACCCAGAAAATCTCGGTTCTGCTCTGTTCTTCTCCCCTGTCCGCCGGCTGCTATGTGCGTTTGAATTTCTGGGCATTTTTCGGGTAAGCCACAGCCATAAACTTCATCTTTCAGTGATTTAGGCTAGGTTTACTTTAATTGCTTTTGTTTCCTTCCAATTGCTGGTAGCCCATGAGCCCCCCTGCAGATGCCGTCGGCTTCCTTCCCAGCTAGAACCGGCCTTTGCTTGCCGGAAATTCTGGTAAGTTGCCGGCTTTTCCAAGTTTGAATTACCCACTTAATTGCTACTTGTTGAGTTTTAATTGGTTGAATTGATACCCTTGGTTGTCCGAAAATTTGTGGAAATAAGAAGAAATTTGGCAGCCATTTAAGTATGTAATTTTAGCTTTAATTCACGTAGAAATGGCTTGATTTGCTGCTGTGAATTTTCTGGAGAGAAAATCCCGTGTGTGTGAGTTGTGGGTTGCCCAGGCCCATGCTCTCCATGTGCTGCCCGTGAGATTGGGAAATTTTTGGTAGCTTTAAGCTATGTTTTTAAGTGTGGTTTAAGTGTAAATTAACTTGAAGTGGGTTGTTGTGATTTTGGAGAAAAATCCCGTGAGATTAGTTATTGTTTTGCCAATTTTGGAAGTTGAAGTTACTGTTTATGGGCACTATTCACACACCGAGGGTTAACAATTAACGGGGATTTAAATGTTTAGTTTGTAATATAAGAATAAATTTGGAGATGTCCGATCTTGTGGAGATTGATAGAAATAGCACCGTGATTAGGGGTAGTGCTAAAGATGATTTCACTGTGAATTTGTGATAGTACGGTATTAATTCTGGGGTATTTTGATTAGGTTCTTGAGTGTTCTGTCACCGTAGCACTGGGTTAAGCCTTCGGTTCTGTGCGAGTGAGGTAAGTAAATTATGGTAAAGACCTTTGATTTTAAAGCATGTTTTAAATTGTTTTTGAGATGGTGGCAAGGTTTAAATTGATTTTATCAGCATTTGAGTGTGATTAAACTGAAATGAAAATTGTGATGATTTTATGAGGATTTCATTGTTTTTCTGGAATTGAGCATGATTGGAATGAAAAAGAGAATTTCATTGTTTTTTTGGAGTAGAGCATGCCTATTTGGAATTGACTGAACTGTTTTGATGATTTGAGAATTTTTTGGAAATTATGATTTTCTGTTAAATCCATGCCCACATGGAAATTTTCTGGTTATTTATGAAATCTGAGATTGATTGTGAATTTTGGGTTTTTCTATAAATCCTGCATGGTTTTGTCTCGGATATAGTCATGATTACTGACATCCGCTAGTGGGAATTGCAAACGCTAGCACATGTCGACATGTATTTCTGTAGAACCGGTTCATTCTGCCAATGGGATAATACACTGGTAATTACTGATGCTTGCCAGTGGGAGTTTGTTAAACACTGGTACTACTGACGCCTGCCAATGGGTGAATACATTGGTAATTACTGACGCCTGCCAGTGGGAGTTTGTAAACACTGGTACCATTACTGACATCTGCCAGTGGGAGTTTGTTAAACACTGGTACTTCTATAACCTTGCCAATGGGGTTAAACATTGGTAACTACTGTGTCCGGCAGTGAGAGGTTTATAAACGCTGGCCATGACTTATAGATGAGACTACTACTAAATTTGATTTTGATTCTGCATTAACGGTTTTGTCATTAAACATTTTGCTATTGAACTGAATCTGATTATATTTTAACGAGTTATCATTGAACGTTTTGATATGTTAAACTGTTTATCAGGCATGCTAAAAGTTTTACCCAAGGGCTATCCATATTTACTTACTGAGCATCTCATAGTTTTCCTTGTCCACCATTTCAGGAAGCGAAATTGAGGACGGGAAACCGAGGGGAATGACGAGTTAGAAGGCTAGCCATTTTGTAAAGTGAATATAGATTTGAGATATAGATCATGATTTGTAAACTAAAGTTTAATCGGAGATTTTATACATTCATTTAATGGATTGTTCGTTTACAAAAGATTTGATCTTGAGATTTTGAGTTTAAGTTATGTTGGACATAGAAAGAAATTTTGAAATATCTGATTTAAGTTATTGGATTGTCAAACATGAATTGGATAGTCAAACATGAATTGGATAAGTTCCGAGCCTTGTGCATTCGTGGGACTTGTTCACAAGTGCACGGCGTTTGTCGCGTCCCCGGATTTGGGTTCTGGTGCATGACATGTGGCATCATTATTCGTGATAGCATGAACCTCACATCAATTGAGGTAGTTCATATGCTTGTGGCCTATGCCTTTTTTATTATCAAGAAGGCCATGCCTGTTTTTTTGTACAATAACCATTAAGCAATTTTCACCAAATAGAATTTTATGACTTAGTTGAAATAATCACAAAAGATAATTTAAAAAAAAATTAGATTTATGAAAAGAATGAGAAAAACTAAGTTTACCTTTCTTATATTATATATTTGGATTGAGAAAAATAAAGGGAAGGAGAAGAGAGTAGAAAGTTTTTTAATCAATCAAATTATAATGTTTTAAAATATTATAAATTAATTGGTTCAAAAAGTTTTGTCTCCCTCATCGCCATTCCCCTTAATCTAAATATACTATTAGAACCAAAATAAAAATTTCATCACTCTTTATGAATATTTTAGAATTGAATTTAGTATTAGAAATTCTTATTTCACCTAAATAAATCCAAATAATACAGTTTTATAACAAGGTAAATTTCATCATCAAAAATAGTATACTAAGAGGCTATTGTATATTAGTGCGGACTCTCAAATGAAAATTAAAGATCTAATTTTAAATGACATGGTTTTAATTAAAATCAAATTTAAAATTTGGAAATTCATATTTTGATATTTATATTTAAAAATTAAAAATTCAACTCAAAATTCATATTCATATATTGATACATAAATTTAAAAATTAATTATATTAAAATATGTAATGTATCAATATTTAATTTAGAATTAAGATACTAATTTTTATGATTAAGGTGAGAAACTGATTTACAGCCTTTCCATAAATTAAAAGGAAAAGGCATACCTTCTTCAAAATTTCATTTTTACAAATTATATCCCGCATATTTCCAGGAAAAAGTATTGCGAGTGCAATTCATGGCTCAATAGCTCACCCTCGGAATTAAACACTGGCCCAGACTCTCCTAATCTCTGTAGCACAGCGCCTTCTCGCATGAAATCCTCGGACATCTCCGCTTCTCCACCCTGACTTCCTTTCATCAATCGGTAAGATTTTCTCATGCCTTTATTAAGTTCTCCGGATTTTTTCTTCTTCCATTAAAATCAAGCCATTGCAGCCATTTCGATCGTTATTTCTTTCTCTGATTCTGCTCGGATTATTGCAGAAAATTCTGGTACTTTGTCACTCGGTTTCTAGCCTACGAAATCATTCCTGGACTGATGTTTTTTGGGCTATAAATATTCTGGTAAGGACCCACAGAATTAACCTCCAAAATCTTGTTGTTTATGCGTGATTTCTATGTTGATTTCTGCGTTATTTCTATGTTGATTTCTGCGTTATTTCGTTTATAAAAATCTGGTAGTATGCTGTCCAGAAATTCTGTTTGCCTCAATTTATGCCTGTTTCTACACCTGAAAATATGCATTTCTCTTGGTTAAAACCTGCACTGTTTGCTCAGCTTTTGTACTGCAAAATCAGCATTGGTTTAAGCGATTTTTGGGCTCCAAAATCTTGCCCAAAACAGCCTTGCTCTGCGCAGATTTTTGCCTAAATGGCTGCTTTATATGCTCTGTTTGCCCAGAATTTTGAGCATCGTTGCTGCCATTTTTAAGATTTAAAACACCTTGTTTCTGTCCTTTAATTGTGCCCATAAAATCTGGTTTGTTTGGGATAAGTTTGAGGCTTTTTTTGGCTTTATTTTGGCTTAAATTGTCATAGAATATGTGTAAAAATCTGATTTGAAACTACCTTTACAGTTTGAGAATCTCCGAGCTCAACTCGAATGTAAGTGACTTGAATTCTGGCCGCCTAACCCGGAGTTAGTATTTTGGTGTAACTTTCTCTATATATGTCCAAATGAGGTGATTCTTTGTTTTATGGAAAACTAAAAGAGAGGACTTTAATTCTGCTCTTAAGCATTGAAATCAATTCTGCCATTTTCAAGGAGAAAATTCTGTTGCAATGTACATGTCATGAATCTGTTCAGATTTCTGCAACTGTTTGCTGCTATTTTAACTATTGTGATGCATATTTCATCTAATTTGATTCCGCTCCATCTTCTGCGGTTTAGTAGCTGCTGTTAGGTGCAAATTCTACTATTCATTTGCCCGTTATTTGCTGCCAAGAAATTCCTCTTTGATTTGGTCCTTGTGGACTTGTAGTAACCTAGCTTGAAATCTTTGGTTGTTATTCTAGGGAGGTAACATGGTACTTCTTTTTTTAAAAAAATTTTGAAATGATAGAGAGAACCTTTAAAATTGAAAGTTTATAAATAATTTTTATAATGATTTAATGAATACATGAATTTTTCATGACTTGTATATATATTTTAAGAAATTAAGGGTTAGCAAATAGGCTCATAATATGATATTAAATTAAGTAGATACATAAAATATCATGTATGGGTTTTTTTTATAAAAATTTTATCACAAAATGACACTTTATATTGCACACAAAATAGGCAAAAACCTACTTTGAGCCCCTCACCTTACCAAATTTGAAGGTTTTAGCTCTTTACTTTATACTATGATACTTTTAGGCCCTCACTTTACTAGATTTGTAGGTTTTAGCTCCTCACCTATTAAAATCGAAAAAAATAGCCCTCACTTTATATTGACTGTTAACTCTGTTAACTGAAAGTAGAATTTTATCAACTAACAGTTAATTAATAGTCAATTAACAGAATTAACAAAATATTATAAAATTAGTTTTATTAACTCTGTTAGTTGAAAGAAGGTTTTTGACAATTAATAGTCAACTAATAGTCAGCTAACAGAACTAGGTGAGGGCTAAAAGTGTCGTAGTATAAAGTGAAGGGTTAAAACTTACAAATCTAATAATGTGAGGGGTTAAATAAGGTGAAGGTTAAAACATTCAAATTTGACAAGGTAAAAGGTTAAAAGTAAACTTTTGCCCACAAAATAAATATTAGTAAGAATACTAAAATATATGAGATAAGTGTTTTCTAGGATGTCTTCCGAGAAGATATCTCTAAAAATATCATATTTTAATTAATATTTTTTAAAATTAATTATTAAACTAAAAACTCTAGGCATATAGATTATATATGTCAATTTATATAATAATCTTAAAATATACCTAACAAGTTATATAAATTTAAAATTATTAAATATATGTTAGGAAATATAATATTTTTAATTAAAAAATTATAAACATTAAATTAATTTAAATATTAACATTTATGATCTACACATAAATAAAATATTTAATTTAATCATTAATTTTTAAAAATATTAATTATAAGATTTGATTTTAGGTAGGTCTTAGAAAAATTTAAAAAGGTAAAATATTGTATGGGAAAGCAGAAAAACAGGACTTCAAGGCAAAAAATTGTCAGGACCTACTTCATAAAACCGTGCATTTTACTATTTATTTGCCTTCTCTCTGAACGGTTAAACCCTTCTCATCTTCGCACAACCCAGGGTACCAAAATCCTCTTTTCACCTGCTAATCGAAAAGTTCAGGGCTGCACTGCCAAAATCCTTCTCCTCCTCACGCAATCCATAACCAAGGGTCTGATCAAATCTTTCTCCATGTCCATTAACTACCCTGCAGATTTCCTTTTTCAAAATTCTTTGAAATTTATAAATTTTCTTTTTCGTTTCCATTTCAAGTGGGGGCTTATGAAGGGGCCAGAGAATTTGGCATGATCAAGGGTTCACCAACCCCTTCAGAAGCCCCTACCTCATTTCTTACACTTTGATTCTAGTTTACATTTCTCTCTTTTCTCCAAAATCCCTTGGGTACCCACTTGATTTCCATTAGTGGGCACTTTCTTTCTTGATTTATAGCTTCAAGTAAAGGTATGGGGTTGGTATGGGTATTTAGTGGTTTGAAATTATTTTTGATTTAGTTGTGCTTTGTTTGGCGAAGAAATGGTGGCATCTCTATCTGATCTGGGGGGTTCATTGGGGAGTTTCTTGCAAAAATAGAACTCACCGTGTTGTGATTGTTGTCCAAGGTATTAAGAAGGCAGGAAGGGTTTATAGTGTTGGAACTTGAAAGAGAAGGGTAAACGGGATGCCCCAGAAAAACGCACCGTTTTATTGAGGATGTCCTGGCAATTTTTTGGCCAAGGAGTTCTGTTTTTCCCTTCTCATATTGTATAGAACTAGACAATATTCGTGCCATCGCATGGGATATACAATAAATTAATTTATATTTTTAATTTTTATAAAAATTTTTTTATAAAATTTATTTTTAATATAAGATGTTATTTATTTTTAAAAATTAAACATAAATTAAAACTTAATGTAAAATATATTTGGATAATTTTTTAATATATATTAATGTTTTTAATAAAAAGTTGTAAAAAATTTTCATTTATATTTACACTTATTTTAACGCATTAATTTAGAATACTTTCCTTTTTATATAAATAAAAGGATTTTTATAATATCAAAAATAAAGAAAAAAATTTATAATATGTTTGAGTTGAGAGAAATGTAAATGTAACACTCCCAATCCGACATTGATGAGGACTTATGAGTATATTTGGCATATAATTATAAAAATCAACTACATTAATGAGTTAAGTTTGAACTTTTGAGAGCCCATAAAATTTGTTATAAAAAGTTGTTAGGTTAATAACAGATTTCGATTCAAATCATTTTAGGAGGGGAGGGAAGATTTTTTTGACCAACCAAATTGTAATCTTTTTTAAATATTGCAATTTGATTGGTCAAAATTTTTTTCTTTCCCCTCAACCCAAACATATTATTAATTAAACATTTGAAATAAAAATGAGAAATACTAATATCTTAAAAAACAAATTATTACTTTTTTTTTTCTTCTTCTTTTTGAGAAAAAATGATAAAATTATATTAGTACAAAAATAGACAATTCATTAAGGTTGTTTTAGAAAGTGAACTCTTAGTATATAAGTAAAAAAAAAAAATTGTAACAGCAAGAAGTGAACATTCATTAAAAATAAAAAAAGTTAAAAAAAGGTGATATTTTCATCTTGAGAAGTTGGTTAGTATACGTATGGCTATTACTATTAACATGTTGCAGTGTTAAGTTAGAACAAAATTTATCATGATTTCTGTACAATTCAAAATATTAGAGATATTGGCAAACAATAATTAAATAATATAAAAAAAGTCAGACCCAATGTTAATTTTAAAAAATCCCTTGATAATATTAAAGTTGGAGGTTATTTTCTATATTTTAAAGTTCAACACTTACTCTATTAGTAAAACCTATATTCTTGACAAATCTCATAATCTAATTGTCATTATGATTTTTGAAGATCCCTCTTTTGCCAATAGGTTTGAAAAAGGTAAGCCCCTTAGTATTACTGTTTAATAAAATATAGAGGAGGTTTATGCTAATAAAATATATCAAATTACTTATTAGATAAATCAAACTAAATAAAAAAAATAACTAAAATTTAATAGTTTTGTAAAAAATAAGAAAAAGTCACTTAGAATTTTAAAATAAGAATTCTTATAAAACTTTTCATTTTCTTTTTGTTACTAAAATTTTCAAATAATGAATGAAAACAAAGCAATCCAATGAATTTTGACATAAGAGAATCATCTATGTACTTATCTCTTGTTTGATTTAAGGGAAACAAAGTCCCCTCCGCTTGTTTGGTTAGACAAAAATGCAAAATAATAATAATAATAATAACAACAATAATAATAATAAAGAAAGAAGGAAAAACCCATCACTTCCCTTCATTTCCCCTCCAATTTTTTATTATCCAAATAGAGAAGTTTTTCTTCCTTTCCTCTCCCTAAACCAAAAAAGACATTAGTGTTAACTCGTAATTAACTAATAAAATAAACAATAGCATTTTCAATATTTACAACAAGGATAATTTTGTTCCAAATTCTCAATAAGTATGAATATTTTAATTGTTAGTATGGAAATATTAGCAATGATAGTAGGGCTTCACGAAATGAAGAGCATTCCCCATCCTTGTGGTGTTTTTTGAAGGAAAATTTTTTTTTTCTCCCATCTCAATTTACAATAATTTATAAAAATTTATTATATGATTTTTTTCTTTACAATATTAAATGGCAAATGTGTTGAGTAGTTAAGTTAGACTTGAATTACATAATGAATATTGGGTTTTGTCATTAAAATGAATGATAAATTAAGTACATACATTGAAATTTATTAAAGTGTTGGTTGAATCCAATTTAAAATAATTTATAAAAAATTATTGTATTGTTAAGGGTACATTAAATGGAGTCCCCATGAGACGAAAGAGAAATTGTCATCTTTAAATGGTATATTTGGTTTGAAGGAAACAGATGAAAGAGGATAAATGAGATTTTTTTTTTAAGCAACTCTCTTCCTATAGAATGGGAGAAAACCCTTTTCATATCTTTTTACATGTCATGTGATTTTAATTCTGGAACTGGTACTTCCACTGAAAAGAAATTACCACTAAGTTATGCATATCATTGGCAAAAGGAATGTGTTTTATAACCAATCAAATTATAACATTTTCAAATATTGTAATTTAATTGGTTGACAAATACATCATTTCTCTTCCTTCAAACCAAACACACACTTATAAGAGATTTTAGCAAAAATCTTAATTAAACCCCAAACTTATCCCAAAATAGTATTTAAAGCCCTAAACTAAAAATGAAGCAAATAAGCCCTCGATCTCCATCAATGATGCAAATAAACCCTTCTACTTCATGGGTGTCCATGCTTTCAAGGTGATATTAAACATGAAATATTGTTTGACCCATTTGCAGGAAGGGTTTATTTGTATTGTTAATGGAGTTAGAGGGCTTATCTGCTTCATTTTTAATTTAGAGGCTTAAATGCTATTTTTAGATAAGCTTGGGGGCTTAAGAATGGGTTTTGCCAGAGATTTTCAAATCTTAAAGCAAAAATAGTTTTTTTTTTTTTTGTAAAAGTTAAGTTTCTAAATAATTTCAAAATTTTTTGAATTAAAATATTAAATTAAAATATTATTACCAAAATATTAAATATTAAGGAGCGTATTTTTAAATTGAAACTAATTTAAAATTTATTGAAAATAATTAAAAATATACAAAAATAAATATAGAATATTAGATATGACATCAATAAAAAATAAAATATTATTCTAAGAGGAAACAAAAAATACTCTATCAAAAATTGAACATAATATCTACCAATATAACACAACTAATAAAATAGCATAAGAATATAATATGAAATGTGTGCTTTAATTATGAATTCTAATGTATTGAAGCATGTAAATTACCAATAAATAAATAAATAAAACTAAAAAGGAACATAGAAATAAATACTTTTGAGAAAATTAAAGAAAATAAAATTAAAAAAAAAACTAGCAAAAAGAGAGGCAAATTAAAATGCCACCTAAAAATATTATGATTTTAAATTAATAAAAAAATATTAAATATTAAATCCTAGTTCGAATTTAAATCCTAAAACTCTAATCCATAAATTTTAAAAACTATAACATTTAAATTCTTATTATTGAACTCTAAAATTTTAAAATCTAAAACTCTAAAATTATAGAACTAAATGTTAAATTCTAAAACTTTTGGGTTAAACGCTCATTTTGGTCTTTCAATTATTGTATAAATCTTTAATTTAATCCCTCAATTAAAAAAATCTTTAATTTAATCCCTACTGTTTACTATTTTCACCACAATTTAGTCATTCCGTTAAAAATCCGCTGATGTATCCCGTTAACTAACAAAAAATGATGACATGTCAAAACATTAAATACATGTCAAGAATACAGCATGGCAAAAATAATAATAATATGGTAAAAAGATACTTAAAAAATTATCTTTTTTCCTCTTTCTCATTCTTCTTCCTTGCCTTGCCTTGCCTTCAACAAACCCTAAAGACAAAACCTACAATTGCCCCCAATGAAACTTGCAATTTCATCCTTTCAATTTTTTTCTCTCTCTATCCTTTCCCCAACACTAGATTTGGACATTTTCCCTTCCAATTTCTCTGTTTTGCTGGGGTCGAAAGTTGTGCTGGGTTCCTTTGAACCTAGTAGTCGTTGGGTCGATGGAACCGAACGGCGCCTACTAGGTTTTGCTAGGTTCATCAATCGAACCTAGCGACGCCTGTTGGGTTCATCGATAGAACCCAGCAGCACCTGCTGGGTTCATCCATTGAACCTAACTGCGCCGATTGGGTTTATCCATCGAACCCAGAATCCTTAAGGCCAATGAACAAGGATTTGGGGGGAAGAAGATGAACAACATAAATCGAACCTAGCATTCTTTAATCGAAACCAGCATTCTTCAATCGAACCCAGTAGGGGTACATCAATCAAACCCAACAGGGGTTCTTCTAGCCATTGGGTTCGATCGAACCCAGTAAGCACTAGGTTCCTTCAAACCCAACGTGCCTGGGTTCAATGGAAAAACTCACTAACCCCATCAAGAAAAGCCAACCAATTTCAATGCTTTCGATATCACATCCCTTCCCATGGATTTGATCTATCACTTCTCTCTCATCTCCAATCATCTTCCCTTTCTTCAATGACTATTTCTTGTTATTTTGGTTGGCCCATCAAAACCACCTCCGCCCATTATCCAATCGAATGTTCTTTGTTCAGAAAACCCATATCTGGGTTTTTGGGTTCTCCAAACCTAGATATTTTAGGGTTATTTAGGAGAAAATGAAAGATAGAAGGAGAATGAGAAAGCGAGAAGAGAAAGAGGAGAAATTTAAGGATTTGGAGTTGTCGGGATGGTGAGATTGAGAAGATATCATGATCTAGGTTCTATGAATTTGATGTTAGGTGTTAGGGTTTACAGTAGCAGAAGGAAGGAAGAGGAAAGAGAAAGAAAATGGGAAAGAGGAAATAAGGGAGAAAGAAAAAAAAAAGGAATTTCTTAATTTTTGTTTCCATGTCATTTATTTATCCTTGCTGTCAAATTTACGTGGCAAAATTTTTTTGACGTGTCATAACTCTACCGTTAAGTAACCAGAGTTTTTACGGAGGGACCAAATTGGAGTGAAAATGGTAAACAATAGGGACCAAATTAAGGATTTTTTTGAGTTGAGGGACTAAGTCGAGATTCCGTATAATAGTTGAGAGACCAAAATAGGGGTTTAACCAAACTTTAAAGTTTAAATTTCTAATTTTTCATGTTAAATTTTAAATATTGAAACATAAAATGATTCTTCCTAAATTCTAAAAAAAATTGGGCTTAAAAATAATAAATACTTATTTTAAAAAGTAGTATAATAAAAAACATTTAATAATTTTTATTTTATTATTGTGAATTAAATGTTTTAATATACACTTTTTCTCATATAATTCTATCTAATTAATTGGTCTCTTAACGGCTCGCTCCGGTTCAGTGGCATTGGATCCTGGGTTAGGGTTGTTTACCTCCGATAGGTTGTACGTTCGAACCTCACGAAAACTTTTTTCCTCCTCTCCTAATTAACCCTGTAAATAATTATAAATTGTTAAAAAAAATTAATTGGTCTCTTTTTATCAATTTTTGATTTAAAAAAATTTAAATTAACAAAATGTAGCAACAAATATATACTAAGGGTATAGTAGCCAAGTGACATTAATTAAGCTTTTGAATTTGATTTTGTTTTTATTTTTTGCCATAATTTTGGATTTTGACATTATTTGATCTCATTAAATAACAATTTAAAAAATATTTAATCGTAAAACAAATTGCCAAATAAAGAGAGTTTTGTAATATGTCAAAAGTACCTTAAATTAAGGATTATATTAAAATTTAGTACATAATATGATTTTCCTTTATTAGTTTCTCTCTTAATATATAGATAGATATAGAATAAATTTCTAATGCAACATGACTAAATAGTTAAGCCAAACAAAAAGAAATATGAAATAGAAGATGAAAAGGATCAAATCTAAAACAATTAACTAGATTAAATTTATGCAAAAATGAAAAAAATAGGACATCCTAGCTAGTACGTCATGAAAATCTAGGATCTAAAACTTATAATTAAAAAAGAAATAAGTATAATTTTGTGAAATGATATTAATAGAACTTGAATGATACAATGTAAAAAGGGTTGGGTTACTATTATATTTTAAATAGTTAATATCATATTATTTTAATATAATTATTTATTATACTCTTACATTTTTTTTAATTTTATATTTTTTTTATTTCTTAATAAATTATAAATATAATAGTTAATTAAAATAAAAAAGTGCAGCATTAATAATTGAATGTGTGACAATAATATCACATCATAAAAGACAGAAAAGATGACTTTTTTATGCTTAGTTTTGTATGTATCTAAATTCAAGATTTTTTTTACTGGTATTATTGTTTTTTCATACTTAATTCTCTCTACATAAATAATTTTAATATTGTTAAAAA